CAGTGGTGGTAATTGAAGCCGTGGGAGTGAATAAGTTTGCCAAGGGAGGAGGTATAGATGGAGAAGAGGAGGGGCCCGAGGACAGAGCCTTGGGGGACCCCGACAGAGAGGGGGAGGGAGGGGGAGGTGGCAGTGTTGTAGGTGACGCTGATGGAGCATTGGGAAAGGTAGGAGGAGAACCAGGAGAGAGCAGCGTCCCTGATGCCAAGGGAGTGCAGTTTGGCAAGGAGGAGAGGGTGGTCAACAGTGTCGAAGGCCGTGGAGGGGTCGAGGAGCACGGGGATAGAATAGTGGCCATTGGCTTTGGCGGTTAGCAGGTCGTTGGTGATTTTAAGTAGGGCGGTTTCGGTGGAGTGCAGGGGACGGAAGCCAGACTGTAGGAGGTCAAGGAGGTTGTTATCAGTGAGGTGGGCGCTTAGGCGATTGTAGGCCAGGCGCTCAAGGAGCTTGGAAGTGAAAGGCAGCAGGGAGATAGGTCTAAGGTTGTTAAGGTTAGTGGGGTCAAGGGAGGGTTTTTTGAGTATTGGGGTGATGTGAGCGTGCTTTAGAGGGGAGGGGAAGGTGCCAGTGGAGAGGGAGAGATTGAAGATGTGGGTGAGGGAGCGAATGATGGAGGGGGTGGGTGACTGGAGGAGCTGTGAGGGGATAGGGTCCAGGGGGCAGGTGGTGAGGCGGGCTTCAGTGAAGACCTTAGAGACCTCCTCAGGGGTAGTTGTGCTGAAGGAGCGGAGTGTTGGGGAGGTGATGGTGTGTGGGGCATTAGGTATAGTGGGGGGTAGTGCGTCTATGAGGTCGGGGGAGTGGAGGGTTGAGGGGTTGAAGGAGGGTGGGAGGCTGGGTGGAGAGGTGGATTGTGAGTTGACAATGTCCTTCCGGATTGTTTTGGAAGTGATTGGCAATCTCGTGGGTGGTGAGTGAGGTGCTGGGTGGAGGTGGGGGGAGAGAGAGCAGGGATTTGAAAGTGGAGAAGAGCTAGCGAGGACAGGTGGAGAGGGTGTTGATAAGGGTTATGAAATAGGCTTGCTTGGCGGCGTGGAGGAAGGTGGTGTAGGCGAGGTAGGCGGCTTTATAGAGGGAGAACGCGCGAGGGGATCTGGTTTTGCGCCATAAGCGCTCCAGCGCGTGACTGTACAGTGTTGTATGACCGTGAAATTGTCATTCAAAGTGTGACAGCACTGAAACCTGAAAATTGGCCTGGGCAGGAAGGGGGTAAAAGTGCCCTGTATGGAAGTGGTTAAGTAACATGAAAGTATTCTTTCTTAAGAAGAGGAGATTAAGGTGGGATATGATCACCATGTATTAAAACATAAGTGGTCCATGTAGTGAACTTGATGTTGAGTTATTCCCTTTCAGGTCATTACAGAGCTATGAAAACCTAGAATAGTTTCACTGTAGAACTAGTTCAGGCCAGCTTATTAAATTGCTTTAAAAAATAGCTGGGTGCATTACTAAATACACAAACTATAACTGCATACTAACATGTATATGTCATAACACTAGGGGTAGTTGATCCAAGGAATATCTGATTGCCTCCTGGGGGATCAGAAATAATTTTTTTTTCTCCGCTAGAACAAATTGGATCAAGTTTCATGTTTGTTTTTTTTCACTTTCCTCTGGATCAGAATTCTGATATCAACATTTTATATATTTTGTTAAACTAAATGGACTTGTTTCTTTTTTCAACCTGACCAACTATGTAACTATGAATGACTTATGGAAAATTCTGACAGCACCATTGTTGGTTGAAGGGGTCAGTCAAGATACAGCTTCTATAGAATGTATTTGCCATGATGACCATGCCCATTCCAAACTGTCAGAAAGACATTTATACAATATTGTGTAAAGGGTATCCTCCTATTAATGTGAGGCATGACTGCACTCATATTGAGGAACATAATTTTTTTGCAATAGTTGTTTGAACAAGTGGTGTGTGTTATTAATTTTGCTGGCCCCAAATGCCGTCATGTCAATTAATACTCAATATGTCATTTAGCCACATTAAGGAGCATTAGTTGTTCATTCGAGTTTTAATGCTAAGAATGCTTGCCAGTCATAAATATGTTAACTGTGCTATCGTAAGCTGTACCTCCTATGCCATTGCAGAATGCTTTTTTTTTGCTATCCAAGTTCCAACATGGGCTGGATTTGTCCTTGTAACTATGAAATTTCAGTAACATAAAATGTTGTTCTCTAGTCTCCTAATATAACTTATAATATAGATGTATCTCCTAATATAACTCTGAGTGGTTTAGTACATACAGGAGAGGAAGAAAAAGGGCTCACCACTTATAAAAGCTGCGCTGAAAAATACACCAAGTGACATTCCAGAACTTGGTAAGAAGAGGCATCCAATCTTCTCCAAAATGTGATATACTAAGAAAAAGTAAAAGCATATATATATATATTTTATATAAAACCATTGTTTTGTTTAGTTATTTTTTTTAATTACATGTGTATTTAACTGCAAACTTACCAGTTTGTTTGGGTTTGTCTGTGATAATACTGTATATTGCAGCACATATCAACAGATTCCTAAACATGGATCAATAGAGTTAACCTCCCTAGCGGTATGATTATGTCAATATTTCTGTGCTCAAAGCGGTACATTTTTTTGCATGGAAATATGTTTTTTTTTTTATTGTAGGCCTGTAATTTTTAGGAATAACTCACTGAAATCTGTCCGAACAGGAGTCTAGTAAACATCCCGGGTAGGATAAAACTTGAAACACGAAATCATAAATTATAATTTAATAAATAATCATAAAAATAATAATATAATAATAAATTTAATTCAATAATATAATCAAACCAAAAACACTGAAATTTGAAATATAGCGCCATGTTCGCACATCACTGAGCAAAGTCGCAAAATCATGCGATATTTGGGTTATGGTCCTTTAAGGGAAAAAAAGGTGTGTGTACTTGAGTCTCACCCGTCATTGGTGAGGTATTTGGGGGTAGTCATGTAAAGGAGAGGGCTGACTCGCAATTCTCTTGGTATTAGCAGAGACGTATTCGGGAACCTGGAATTTTGGAGGTTTGGAGCGACATTCGGGTGGGAAAAGAATCTCCACTCCTGACTACGGGGACTCCAGTCCCTACAGGGTTAAGCAGCCACCAGGAAGCAGAACATAAAACAGGAAACTCTGAATATCAGGAGTGGGGAGTAGGAGTTTTGAGAGAGACCTGTTGAAGTGCTGCACGAGTGCTGAGAGCTGCCAAACAACCAGAGTTGGACTGTGCTAACCTTGGGGTAAATCCCATCTATGAACTTTATGTTTCCTTTATGATGTTTGTGCTGAGGATAAGCAGACTTTTCTGTTATATTTTCTGGAGTTGAGTGAATTCCTTGTTGCTGCTTTGCTTGCATTTAAAGATTAATAAACACTTTTTTATGTTTAATCTCCCTAACGGTCTGATTATGTCAGTATTTCTGTGCTCAAAGCGGTTTCAATTGAAATATCTTATTTTTTTATTGTAGGCCTGTAATTCTTAGGAATAACTCACTGAAATCTGTCGGGTATGATAAAATTTGAAACACAAAATCATAAATTATAATATAATATATAATCATAAAAAATAATAATATAATAATAAATTTAATTCAATAATATAATCAAACCAAAAACACTGGAATTTGAAATAGAGCGCCAAGTTCACACATCACTGAGCTCAGTCGCAAAATCGTTTTCAGTGTCTGATGACAAATTTCCCCATGAATCATTATCACTCAATTCTGCAAGGAGTTCTGATTTACTATATATAAAAATGCAGCGCTTGAGAAGAAAGGTGATGATAAGACACAGTCCAGTGAAAAAAAGTGCTCCGTGTTCCTAGTGCAGATGGTAAAAATTTACACTAACCAGATAGCGTAAAATTATACGCATGTGTACATATATCCTGTAGGGTCCCCTTCTGCACTCAGATCTGGTCAAATAGGTAGCTGGAAAGGATAGACGTCCTGCGCCCTCTTGTGGTGAAAGAGTGGTCCAGCAAGTCAGAACGATGCCAAACAGAGTAAGCCTTCCCCCTTCACTGAAGATGACCAGGAGATCCCTTGGGGCTGTAAAAGTTGAGGAAGCTCCTCACAGGGAACACAGGGAAGTGCTCATAGTGTAGTAGATAGGCTTTTATTATAAAAACATAGGTGCATAATAAAACGGGTGTAGACAGGTATGCATGAATACACTGACCCCTTGGAATTTAAAGATGGCCGCCGGGCCTCCTCGTGGCACCGGCGGCTTAGTGTCAAAGGTGGACCTGGGACGCCGTTGACACTAAGCCGCCGGTGCCACGAGGAGGCCCGGCGGCCATCTTTAAATTCCAAGGGGTCAGTGTATTCATGCATACCTGTCTACACCCGTTTTATTATGCACCTATGTTTTTATAATAAAAGCCTATCTACTACACTATGAGCACTTCCCTGTGTTCCCTGTGAGGAGCTTCCTCAACTTTTACAGCCCCAAGGGATCTCCTGGTCATCTTCAGTGAAGGGGGAAGGCTTACTCTGTTTGGCATCGTTCTGACTTGCTGAACCACTCTTTCACCACAAGAGGGCGCAGGACGTCTATCCTTTCCAGCTACCTATTTGACCAGATCTGAGTGCAGAAGGGGACCCTACAGGATATATGTACACATGCGTATAATTTTATGCTATCTGGTTAGTGTAAATTTTTACCATCTGCACTAGGAACACGGAGCACTTTTTTTCACTGGACTGTGTCTTATCATCACCTTTCTTCTCAAGCGCTGCATTTTTATATACATGAATTGTGGGACTTTATATGAGTTTTCCTTTATGTTCAGCTGCTATCACCATTGACGAGCGCTTACTGTATATTTTACCTTAGTTCTGATTTACTATCGCTGTTCTCTAGCTGGTCTAAAATCGCTTTTGACCTAAAGGGACACTTTTTGGACACCATGGACATTTCTCAGTTTCCAGGCAGAAAGAACAGTAAAAATGCAGGCAGGGCACAGGACAAAGCACTAGGGACAAAATGTATGTGAAATGGTTTGATACAGTAATGTTTTACTATGTGATTTTAGTGAATGGCACTTTTTGTCATTTTCAAATTTCCCGCTGTTTCGTCCCCCGTATGTCCCGACGCTCGCAGGGGACGGAACCCAGATGACAGATGCCGGCATCTGCCGGATTACATTGTCGTGGACACTGCAGGAGGGACATCGTGGTAAGTGATCGAGGGATCGCGGAGCAGCGCCGCATGGTAAGCCCAAGTGTAGCTCGGGGTTACCGCTTGTGGTACTGAAACTTTACCCCGAGCTACACTCGGGAATACCGCCAGGGAGGTTAAAAAGTGGAAGAATATACAGTATTACTATATATAATATATATACAGGGAATATCCGATTGAGTCTCGGGGGATCAGGAAATATTTTTTTTTCCCTGAAGAAGCAAATAGGATCATTTTTTGCTGGGTTTTTTTTTTCCTTCCTCTGGATCAACTGTGGGAGTAGGATTATAACTTTGTAACTATATACTAGTACAAACATTCTGCTGCCGCTATAGAGAACGCCACAACCCCCCCAGGTCAGCATAAAATTATAAGTTTTGCCTTCTTTATTACAGACTTTCCCAAATGAGATGAGTCGCAAAGAAGTCTCCAGGTACATTTGCTTCTTTCTTTTACTTATATTCTAAAAAACATGCAAAGCCTTTAAGTATTTTGCTGATGCACCTTATAAGGCTAAAAACAGCAGCTGCCAGAAAAAATATCACTTCTCACCAATTTACAATACCCTGCTTTTTATCAAGCATTAGCTGTATACGTCAAAAATTGTCAGTAACCTCATCTAAGTAATGTTTCCATTTATTAATAAATGGTATCAATTTGCAATAAACAGAATCTTTTATGCTTTTATTTTATTGAATGGTATAATTCATGGTATAGACAATCATGACCTCTGCTGGCCAACACTTGAATTTTGGCTATCATTTTCTAGTGCTTTAAGTAACTAAGGTATTCTGCATTGAGGGCGATCTATGTCCTTCAAAGTATTTATAAAAAGATGAGGCATCCCATTTATGACTTAATCCCAGTTGATGTCTCATTTAAATATTATAGTTAACATCCCTCTGGCATATTCTGATTGCTATATCCCTCTTTAGTTCAATATCCAAAAGTGTGATATTTGTATCCTAAACCTTAGCTGCAAATCTTTAATTTTGTTTGTGTTCAAATATTCCAAATTCTGGATAACTAGAAAGTAAAGGCCTAATGGTCTCACTGACCCCCTTAAAGTAGTATTAAACTCTCAGTGCTTTTTAGTTTGACACATTGAGCACAATAAAACAGGCCACAGTAAACTATTCACTAAAATTCTCAACCAACCAATGCCTGTAATGTACAATTTCAATGCGGTCTGCTTCTGCTCTCTCAGTGCTGCTCCCCTGAGCTTCTGGGCTTCATAGGTAAGAGCTAACAGTGGACAGTGCAGTCTTCAGCTAGTCTGTTAGCTTGGAAAAGTGGAGGAGGAAGAGAAGGCAGGAGCAGGGGACTGTCTTGCGATTCTAGGTTATGGGACTGTGTGTTTCTATTGATGCACACTGTGTAGGGTGAAATAACTGTAGTGCCTAAATGCAAGGTTGGCTCAATGAGATACTGCAAGAGAAAGGAGCCACCCTAAAACAAGAAAACTAGGGCAGCGGTCATGGCACCAACTTAAACAAGTAAAAAAGTATTAAACAATCAAAGTTTCAAGCTCAATAAGTAATTAAATCATCTGTTGAAAGTACTTATCACTTTACATCCCCATTGTAACTTAGAGAAGGCATTCCAAGGCTAGTTGTCTATAATTTGCAGAGGGCTGAACATTTCGTAGGCACGGTGTTCTAGAAGGACATGTTCACTCACATTTGTTATGACTAGTGTTGTAGTAAGAGTCGGCTATGATTGTAAAGATTAGTGAAAGTGATGCAACATTATACGTTTTGAGATACATGTTCAAAAAATGCTTTAAACTGACAATCAAACAGCCAGCACACTCCTACACATCTGCTGGGGTTGCCCCCAAATTACAAATTTCTAGATTAATGTTCACCGAATAGTACATACACTATTGGGTAAAAAATTACCAAAAAAAAATCCACAGGATGCATTGCTAAAATTGAAACCACCCAATTGCACTAATGACCAATTCCGTCTTCTAACATTCCTATTCACTGCAACCTTTAGCAAAAGGTTTGTGATCCTCCTTACCTACTTCTACCTTAGTTTGGAACAAGATAATGTGGTATATGAGCAATAAAAAACTTGCTGTCATTCCTCACATTAAAACCCATAAATCTGAGAAAATATGGTCTCCTTGGAATGTCATGCCTCCTACAAGACTTTGATAAATCCTTGTTACACTTATAATCTATTTATTTGATGTCCACTATCTTGGTCCTCGTTCCTGACTTCCTCTCTGGCCTTTCCTTCTTTTCTCTTTTCCCTTTCACTTATCCTCAACCTTCATATCTACATCATGATAGTAGAATGAGGTTATACCTTAAATATTATTCAATATTTCTCTATACTATTATTGATAATATAACCTTTATTATAATTTATTATAATTCCATATGATTCATATTAAAACCCATTTAAGATTTTATGTGATTCTTTAATTTTGATAAATGTACAGTTATTGTTTGAATTTTTCATATTCACATATATTACCTTGTATTTCCGTATACTGTGAATCTTCTCACTTATCATATGTAACTGCAACAGTTATTATTTTCTTTTTATGTCAATGAAAAAAAGGATTTAAAAAAAAAAAATAAACTGGCCAATTGTATGTTCAAAAAACTAACTTCCTGTTAATACTACGTTAATTTTGATTTTTTTTAGTCATCAGACTGCATTTAGACCCCTTGACCATCACTTTTTTAATCAACTAATTTTTATTAAGGTGTTCTTGCATTTTATACAAACAAAACAGCAAACAAGATATATAAAAGTTACATGGAGCAATATTACGTCAAAGCCAGCTGACGCAAATCTGTACATTATTTGAACAACAAGAACAGGAAACAGAAATAAATATTACAGTAACTTTGCCTTATGCCCAGAAAATATTTTTGTTATATATAGAGATCATGCAAAATCATATCACTTATATATAAGATACTCAGAGCCAGTATGATCAGACACATCAATACAACCCTTGTCCTATTTCATCGCTGCAAACACAACCTGAAGACCTTTCAATATAAGTAACATCGTATCTGCTATACCAGATATCTAACTCCCCTCATCCGTCCCCATGGATAATTATGAAAATGCTGAATCATTAGACTCCAACCACAGAGACCATATTTTTCTAAAATTTTTGGTGCAGTTCCTATGCTTGCTTGTAAGTCAGTTCCTCCCTCTTCAAATTAACATTAAGATCATTATGCCATTGACTATAAGTTGGTAGCATAGGGGAGATCCACTTTTGAAGGACAAGTTTACGGGCTAAATATAGGGATCTAATCCATAACAGGTGCATCTCAACAGGGATTATGTCCTCAGAAATGATGCTCAGTAGTGCAATTTTGGGATCTAACTGCACTTGCATGGAACAGATTGAATTAACGGTGTTAAAAACAGGACCAGTATTGGTGAAGTTAGGGCAGCACCACAGCATGTGGATAAGTGTACCAGTATCTAAGTGACATCTAGAGCTTAATGGAGATTCTATCCTCCCCCAGGAGTGAAGCTTTTGTGGGGTATAATGCACCCTATGAATTATAAACAGTTGTGTAAGGTGTTGTGATGGTGATAAAGAAACTTGTGAAAGGGATTTCAATGCCTGAGCCCATTCCTCGTTCTCTATCATTTCAAGATCCTGCCACCACTGTAGTAAACTCTGCATCTGGGAGTGAGCAATAATCGATGTTTGTAGGGAGGAGTATAGATCCCCAATGAGACCTCTCTTTGGGCAAGACGTGGATACCACCATAGTCAATGGTATGGAAGGGTTATATTTAAATAGGACTGTCGCAGCTTGGCAATGTAATGCATGGCGCAACTAGAGAAATTGAAAAAAAACTTTATGATATATATGGTATATGATATCGGTCTACCAACACTCTAGAGAGCAAAAATACATCCTAATCATACAATTGATGGAGAAACTGGAGGCCAGACCTTTTCCAAAGATCAAAGCCCTCAAGCTTTGCTACTTCTGATAACTGGAGTTATTCCAAATAGGCATATATTACCCCTCATGCATGGTTATGGTTCGGATATAGTCCCATACCTTATTAATGAAATTGAAAGGAAAGGAGCGATTTTGATAAAAAACAATGAGATACTAACAATTGTACCGATGGGGCACTAATAAATTGAGAGAGAATAATACACTGGATTGGGTCAGAGACATCCAGCTTATTCCAGCCATACCAATGTTGCATCTGCGTTGCTATAAAATATAATCTGGCATTAGGTACAGCCAGCCCCCCCTCCCATCCTTGGGAGTTGTAATGTGGAAAGCCGTATTCTAGGATGTCTATGTTTCCAAATAAGACCCCTAAAAAGGGATTACATTTTTTGAAAAAAGAGATGCGGAAGTCACACTGGGCAATTATGTAAAATATAGAGGAGCTGCAGCATCCAAACCATCTTAACCAAATCAGCCCTACCAATGACCGTTAGAGGCAATTTACACCATGTTCCACTCATTTTTTTTAACCTATGGAGTAAGGGTTCGAAATTACGTTCCACGTAATTAGTCACCTGAGAGGTGACCAGACCTCCCAAGTATTTGAAGGAGGACACAAGCGATATCTGCTTAGCAATTGGGGGTAGGTCTAATAAAAGGGGGTCCAGCGGTAAAAGAACTGACTTGTCCCAATTAATAGTAAAACCTGAAAAAATGAACCATATGTATTCATAAGGGACATTACTTCAATTAAAGAGGAGGAAGTGTCTCCTAAAAACAATAAGATGTCATCAGCATATAACGCTATTTTGTCCTCCCCTGTAGAACTTTTGAATCCTATGATATTAGAGGATTGATGGATTGCTGCTGCTTAGGGTTCCAAAGCCAACAGAAAAAAGTACGGGTGATAATGGACATCCCTGTCTCATACCTCTATATAGAGGGAAGGGATCCGAAACATGCCCATTAATTTGAACTCTAGCTGTCGGCGCTACATAGAGAAGTTGGATCCAAACCCAAACTTCTTTAGACATTGCCACAGGAAACTCCATTCTATACTATTGAATGCTTTCGCCACATCCAGCGGTAATATTGCTCTATTACCATCTTCAATCGTAGGGATTTGCAAGCTCAGAAACAATCTTCTAATATTTATGAA